ATATTAATTTTATCAAACATTAAAATGAAATACAGTGGTGATATATGTTAATTCTTTTGAGGACACAATGGCTTACTTTGTAAAATGTATTTTTAAATTTTGAACCATCTATTAATATTGAATGCCTATTATATTCTAGAAACAGAAAAATAAACATTGGAATTTGAGATCTAGAAAAGGTTTAACCATGTTTTTGAAGGAGAAAAGTTTCTTGTGAGTTGAGGATTGGGCCTTATTGCATATACTTAAGGTAAAATGATGTTTGCATGGGTATGGACAGGATGGAGGCTGTGAAAGTATGTGAAATGTCATGAAGAGAAAGAACTCAGAGACATTCTGAAGCACAGGCTTTCCTGGTGAGCAGTATGATAGATGATCTGGCAGAGCTGGGTAGAACATTGGCAAGATGAAGAAATAACATCATTAGTAAGTGAAAACAAAGATTAAAATATTACTTTGGGGAGTTGTATGTATTGAAAAGAGAGCGTATGGCATAGTAAACAGACGTCATGCAGGACAACAATGTTTATTGGAGGACATGGTGTTTCTGGCAACTTTTCTGGGTTTTTAGCCAAGGAAACTCATAAATAAAAGTGCCTTAAGACCCTGCTTTTAGGTAGAAGTAATAGATCAGTCTGGAAGAGTGAATTCCTACTGGAGCTAGAGAGAGAGGAGTGTATTGCCTGGCAGCCCCATACTATAGGTCATGGTATCAGGAGAAGAAAAAAATACATGCCACTGGGGAGTTATGGATACCTATCTGCTTAAAACTGCTTAAGAACTTCCACTTTTTTTTTTTTTTTTGCCTTTTTCGTGACCGGTAAGGGGATCGCAACCCTTGGTGTGGTGTCACCCACACCACGCTCAGCCAGTGAGCGCACCGGCCATTCCTATATAGGATCTGAACCTGCGGCGGGAGCGACGCTGGGCTCCCAGCGCTGCACTCTCCTGAGTGCGCCACGGGGCCGGCCCAGAACTTCCACTTTTTAAGCCTGAACTCTAATCCTTGCTCCTTAGATTCCCTCTTTTCTATTTTCTATGACTACTCATCCCCTTCCTAGATTCTTAACCTCTTAATCTCCAGAATTAACTTCTTTTTGCTTCTTCCTGGTAGCTTTTAAGTGTATCAATCCACCCCCATCTTCAGGAAATCTTTTCAAGGTTATAGCACACCATTACCCCTGCCTCAGCTTGTTCACTTACATCTGAGCCTTCTATGGCTCACAAATAAATTGTTGATTTCTACTACTTCCAATTTTCTTTCAATTTCCAGCTTCTTGATTCCTTTTAAAATTTTGTTTCTGTCTCTGCCACTCTATTAGACCTGCCTGGCCTATGTGCCACTACCCTTCTTTGGTCTTGGTTTCTGGGGTTCATTCTTGTTTTGTCCAAAAACCCCAAAAACACTTTTTGCCAGTTTCCCTTCTTCGCACTCTACTTGATTACGATTACTCACTGAAGATCATTCCCTGACCTTTTTTTCTTCCACCCTCTCTCTTACTTGCTTATTCTTCACGTTCTTTCTCCTTCCCAGTTCATTTTGTAAAATTCTCTGACATAGCTGGAACAGCTTGCTTTTCTGAAAGAATCTTTATTCTGTTAATAATTATGTAAAATCATCTATACAACATCTTGTCACATTTACAAAATATATATTTTTATACATTTGTTTTTATGTATTCTGGTTGGTATTTTGTCTAATTCAGAGCCGTTTTTTGGGGTTTTTATGTATAACCTCATATTTGTGTGTTGTTTTATCTTTTTACCCCGAGAGTTTGAACACCTCGAAGTATCTTTTAAAACTTTTTAATGTATAATACATGATAAGTATTCAGTAAATGGTTATTGTTAATGATTAATAAAAATTCAGGAATAAAATTAAGTATTAGGGTAGATTAAGTGGCCTCCAGTCTTTTTCCATTGACCTTTTCCCATTGATGATGATAATAGCCAGCATTCTTTTTTTTTAGCATTACTAAGTGTTAGGTACTATGAGAAATAATTTGTAAGTTTTCTTTTTCTTTTAACTCTCACAGCAGCTCTGTGAAATGATACTTTTATCATCTCCATTTACAGATGAGGACATTGAGATGATTTGCTCGAGGCCTTCCTTAAACACAGATCTTTCTGACTTCAAAGTTCATATTCCTGACTGCTGCACTCTAAGAAAGCTATTTGTTTTTTAAAATTTTGTTTGTTTTTATTTTTTTAAGGAATGCCACACTGAAGGAGTACTGATAATTCAGTTAAAATCTCAATCCAGGAAGAAATGCCTAAAAGAGCCACTTGATTTACTTCCTGTCTTTATGCATGTCCTCAGTTTGAAGTATCAGTTGAAGAACCTGTCTGCCTCTATTAATGTATTTTTGACACAAAATCAAATTCTATAACCCTGTTTCACTTGTGTCAGTTGTCTCAGATTCAGGTGAGAGTGTCTAACCATTCCTGTAGTGTGTTTTCAGCACTGGAACTGCCAAACAAGTTTATCCGTTACGTAATGCCAGGAATTGGTTTGCTTCCTGGAAATAGAATTTGTCAACTGATAAACCAGCTCTTATAATAGCATCATCTCATACAGAATTAGAAACATTTTCTCCAGTCATCCTTGCTTATTTGACTTGAAAAGTGTGTGTTTATGTACGAGTTTGTATTCACATCCATCTTGGTTCAATATCTGAGTCGAGACAGCTGAAATTCTCAGTTCTTAGGGTGGTTAATGTTGATACTGAAAACTCCATTTTACTCTTAGGAATATTTACTGGGTGGTCCTCAGAAAACATCTACCTAGTCATAATCTTCCATAAATTGATCCCAATTTGTTGTTACAGTTTGCCCCATTAATTTTATATATTATACTTAATAATATATAAGCCAATTTATTATATAAGCCTATGTATATGAAGGTACTTCAAAATGTTCATGGAAAAATTCATGCAATCTTTTAATTCTATTTTTTCAGGAACTTTTTGAAGTATCCTTGTATTATGTACAAATATAAGCCAATCTTCCGAGCTTAGATGTTATGCTCTAGTTTTTAAACCTTTGTTGTGAGATTAAAAAACAAAACAAAAAACCAAACAAGTGCCCTTTCTTTAAAGAGCCTATAGGGCAATTGCTAGAAAATATAAATCATTAAAACATAAATTCCATCAATTATGACAATGTCTTTTTGTAGATAACTAGTTTGTCACAATTTGTTGTCCCCTTTACCACATGCTTTCGGTACTACAGCTGTGTCACTGTCATACATACTTTTGTGTTTGTTTTGAAGTAGATTCATATGGGAAGCTACTCTTTTGGTGTTTTTTCCTGCAGGTTTTAAATCTAATCTTGCTACTTTTCTGAACAGGCAAAAACCTCTTTATAGGAACCTTTGTCCTTCATTTCCTGCACCTCCTCAGAGGATATGTAAGGCACCTGAGCAGATTTGGTCTAGGGAGAGGGCAGAGCAAATAGTGTGGGAGAAGAGACTAGAGCAGTTTTACTTCCTATACTTTATGCTCTTTTTTCTTTTCTTAGAATATTACCAAAAGACAATGAGAAAAGGGCACAAGATAGGCACTCTGTTTGGGGGGAGCCTTTTGTACTTGCTTCTTTTAAGGTGTGCCCCAAGTCCCTGAGTGACTCACTTGTCACCAAAGCAAATGTAACAATTCATATCTCATGTTCCCTTCCAGATCAACAGGTACTTTTTTTTCAATCTCCAAATACTATTTGAGTGGACAAAGATCTCTTTAAGGACCTGGAAGAACTTTGCAAGACAGAATTGGGCTGGTTTGGGTTTTGGGTTTTGGCCAGTTGTCTTCAATGCATGATAACTATAACTTCATGCTATTTCAAGAAAAGGAGACTAAAAGTAATGCCTATAACGTAGACACAATGTATTGCTTGATCAGTTAGGGAAGAAAAACAATAGAACTGCCTTTTGAATTCCCTATGGGAAGCAAAAGGCCCATAAACTTGTAAAGAGTTGGGGTGGTTGGGGGCGAGGCATTCAAAGACTAGGCTTGTAAAACAAGTTCTGTTCAAAGCAGCTACTTGAGGTCCTTGTTTGCTACCTTTTAAAATGTGCTTTCTGGGCCCGCCCAGTGGCACACTGGAGAATGGGCCGCTTGGGAGCGCGGTGGCGCTCCCGCCGAGGGTTCGGATCCCATGTGGAGACCGGTTCCTGCTCACTGGCTGAGCGAGGTGCAGGGGCAACACTGAGGGTTGCGATCCGTTGCTGCATTCAAAGACTAGGCTTGTAAAACAAGTTCTGTTCAAAGCAGCTACTTGAGGTCCTTGTTTGCTACCTTTTAAAATGTGCTTTCTGGGCCCGCCCAGTGGCACACTGGAGAATGGGCCGCTTGGGAGCGCGGTGGCGCTCCCGCCGAGGGTTCGGATCCCATGTGGAGACCGGTTCCTGCTCACTGGCTGAGCGCGGTGTGGGCGCAGCACCGAGGGTTGCGATCCCGTTGCCGGTCCCCGGTACGGGTGTGACACTGAGGGTTGCGATCCTGTTACCGGTCAGTGAAAAAAAAAAAAGGGAAAAAAAAAATGTGCTTTCTACATATGATGCTTTAATAATAAGTCTGGGACTGACTCTGTCCCATAATCAGCTCTCTATGAATTCATCTCTTCATTACCCTACTACACTGTACTGTGTTGTTCTTCATTCCAACTTTTCATCTGTTTTTCCTGGTTGAGTTTCTCTAGCACTAGATGAATTGCTCTGTGAGCACCTCTTTTCCCCACAATGAATTGGTAAATATTGCTGCCAGAAATCCTGTTAAGGATCCATTAAAATGTGAATTGTCAAAGTCTGACCTCAGTTATCTACTTTTGGGAGGCCTCAACTGCATGTGGTTATAGCTACAGGGTCTGTCATTTTACCTTGGTAGAATTTTCTAAGTATTAGTCAGTCATATGATTTATGAAAGTGCTTTGCTGGTCTGTATTTAAGCATCTTAGCCTATGTGCTCTCTTTCATTGCAGACGAACAGGAGGCATTGAACTCGATCATGAAGGATCTGGTGGCCCTTCAGATGAGCCGACGTCCCCGGGTGCCTGGATATGAGACCATGAAGAACAAGGACACGAGTCACCCAAATAGGCAGGTGTGTGTGGCCCTGACCGGCTTAACTAGATTTGTTGAGGAGGGGTTTTTAAAGGGGAAATATATAAGAAGCTAGGGATACTCTGATACCAGATTCGAATGCTGTTGGTCCCTCCCTTTCAGTCTGTTAAGTGGTAAGTGATATATGCCAACCAGGTGTGGGTCCATGATCTGGAGTCCCAAAGCTTTTTGAATAGTGTTTCACCTGTGTAGAGTAAGAATAATTCCTTCACTTGTTATGGGGACAGTATTCATATAATTTTTTTCCCTTTACTGATTGTTTGGCAAATATTTTATTCAAATTCATGATCCTTAATTCAGAATGTTTTTAGCTACCTTACAGTATATACTCAGGAAAAATTAATTCATTTTATATTAGTTTATATAAAATATAATTAGGAAGGGAAATTGATTTATTAAAATGTCACATATTCTAAAGGCAGCAATAAGTGATTTTGTTGTTATTGTTGTTTATAGTTGTTTGCCCTTATTAACTCGGGTAATTGAGAGTACCTGTTTTATTGAGAGTTGTATGCTTCTTTAGGAAGACATTTCCTATTTGTGTTAACATTTAAACTTGTGTGTGGTTGACAGTCTTCTCACCTCTAGTGCCATTTACCTCCCTGTTTCTTGGGTACTTTGGTCTATAGAGAGGTGTGAATGATGGGGAGCTTTCCTATATAGATATTTTTCCTGTCTAGGGCTATATCAGGTGGCTATGTTGGGCATGTTTGATGAAAACTTGTTCATGACATTCTCTCTTGTGGTTCTCTATGTTACAGCTAATCTCCTCTTTCCTTATTTGCATCTTGTCTACCAATTCTTCAGAAGTATCCTTGGTTCCTAGAGAAAGTATAAGGGCCTAGAAGTTTTTCTGATGTAGCCTTCCAGAGTTATTTCCTGCTTTAAGGAATACTAGGGACCATAGGGAGAGAGGAATCTTTTTGTTTCTTGTTATAATAGACAGATTAGTTTAGAAAGCTGCTTTTATTGTTGTTTTTACCTTACAGAACTGGGAGAATAACAGATTAGGGCTCATTATTGTACTATTTTCATACATTATTCTGTCTAATTATATGAGTTCTTCCTTGCTGTAACATTTGTGTTCAGAACTACTTTTGGAAGGAGCTTTTACCAGAACTGAATTCCTTCCACCAGGCTTGAGCCTAATGACCTCACTTTCCTTCCTGTCTTCCTATGAGGAGTGTGCTTGCTAACACTGCTCCGGTTAGTTGATCTTTCTCCTAACTGGACTATTAGCATGGATATCAGTAAGTGGGTGAAAGGGGAAGCTTTCTTGAGTTGGAGGTCCCAGAGGAATCAGGCTGGGAGAAAGAGGGGTAGAGTGGTCCCTGATAGTTCCCTGAAGGGGGATTACCTTTTAGGAATCCTGCTTAGAGCCTAAAAGCTAGTATAAGAGCCTAAAAGCTATTAAAAATCCTTATCTTTTACTGTGCCTGCTGCTGAGTTACTGGAGTGCAGTCAGTGGTTATAAAGGTAGAAGGATGTGAAAAAGGATTCACTGTTTGTTAGAAAGTAATTTTTTTTTTTTTTGTCCTTTTTGAGACTGGCCGCACCACGCTCAGCCAGTGAGCGCACCGGCCATCCCTATATAGGATCCGAACCCAAGGCAGGAGCTCTACTGCGCTCCCAGCGCCACACTCTCCCGAGTGTGCCACGGGCTCGGCCCTTAGAAAGTAATCTTAACAAGAGGTACTGGTTCTGGGGACCGACAGTTTACTTCAGTATTGTCAAACATTTTCTGTTGCATGGAGGATACAAATTATTAACCTCAGTTTTTTTGTTTTTAAAGAAAAAACACAACAGCAGCAGCTCAGCCCTTCTGAACAGCCCCACAGTAACAACAGGCTCATGTGCAGGGGCCAGTGAGAAAAAGAAATTTTTGGTAAGGAACCAAATTACCCTTTAAAGCTAAAATGTGCTTTTAAATCTGCTACTCGTGCTGGAAGAGTGGAATTCATGTCCCAGACAAGTTGTTTTATTGGATTTCTAGGAAGCACTGGTTACTCATGACCTATGTTCTGTGCCTCTAGTCACCATTTCTTACAACAGTATTATTCATAAGCAGCCTCTATCAGTGCTATCCAGTAAACTTTCCACGATGGCAGAAATGTTCTACATCTGTGCTGTCCAGTGTGTTAGCCACTAGCCACATGTGGTTATTGAGCAACTGAGGAACTATTTAAATTTAAATTTAAATAGCCATTTGTGGCTAGTGGCTATTGTATTAGACAGCACAGCTTTTTATACTATGTGAGGGAATGTTGATTTGTTGGGCAAGAAATTAAGTATATACTTGGAGATGTATAGAGATTTATTGGTGCATTCATTCTTTCCACACAGGTCATGAGTTTCTACACATTATGATAAGCTCATCAATGGGAATCCTACCTAAGATTCAATTCTACGGCAGTGTGAAGTTGTGGAACTAGCATGGCTGGTTAGAAATTGAAGCTCAAAATTTTATGCTAATATTAGGTAAAAGGACAATGAAAATGGCAAGATAGCTTTTTCCCCTTAATGAAGTCAAGGTTGTAGAATGGTCTTTCCTGGGAAGTATAGCAGACATTCAGCTTCTGACCAGGAGGGGTATTCTTCAGCAAAATTCTGAAAGCAGAAAGAGGGAGAAAGTCTCAGCAGATGTATTTCTAGGAAAGATGGGGTGAGATTTGGGGGTGTGGGGGAGAGATGTTTACAGCTTAGTGTAATGAAAAGAGCCTGGCAGTGTTAATAATCTGTTAATGTGGAACTTTACAATTTACAGAGTGAATTCACATCTATTATTATTCTTGTTGTTTTTGTTAGCTTAGGCCTGGGATAGGACAGTTTTCTTCATTACCAGTTCTTCTACCAGAAAGTCCATGCTTAGGAGAGAGGAATGAAAGATCAAAACCTAATTTAAATTGCTAAGAAATGCCAAATTGGACTAAGAAATGTCAAATTGAGCTAACGATTCAAATTGCAGACTCCCAGTTGAAAGTAACCAAGTATTTTGGCTAGCGGGAAAGGTTGTTTATTCAAGTGCGGAATGATGGTAGCAGAGGCAAACAGCCCTTCATTGTAAGAATGGCAGTGCTGGCAAAAAGGCAGCGTTGAGATTGGCACAGCCTCCTGGGGCTCAAGCTTGCACAGCAAGTAAAGCCAGAGGAGCTGTGGGTTCATTGACAGAATTGTTTGGGGGCCGAGGCCTGGAAGAACTAGAAAACCTAATTTAACATCTCTGCTTGGCAGGACTTTAGACATCCTCTTCCCTAAGTAAACAAGCTTGGTAACTAATTGAAAAAGAGAATGCATCTGAGAACAAATAAGCATTCTGAACAGCTATGGAAGTACATGGGCAATGAGCTGCTCAGCTATGAACTATTTGCTAAATGGTAGGTTTTGTGTTCTCTATATTCTCCCTTCTGTACATTAGGTCCCTGGAAGCCTACAGCATGGTTAGAGCTGACTGAACATTCTCAGATGTATGGCACGTCCTAGGTATGGCTGGGGCTTGTGGGTGTTTTGTAGGCTATGATGTGCAACATCCCTGTAGCAGTCATCAACCCACAGTGCTTTATCAATGGGTGCTAGTTCTCTATAGGGCTGACAGTTAATGTAGTGAAAAGAACACTGGCCTCGGAGTCATAAAGTTGTTAGTCATCTATTAATATAGGATTTTACAACTGACAGATTGCTTTTAACAACAGTAGTTAACAACATCAGCAACCATAATCATGAGTGTAATATTTTAAAATTAACAAAGCTTTGGGCCGAGCCCGTGGCGCACTCGGGAGAGTGCGGCGCTGGGAGCGCAGCAGCGCTCCCGCCTCAGGTTCGGATCCTATATAGGGATGACCGGTACGCTCACAGCGCTCACTGGCTGAGCGCGGTGCGGCAGGTCTCAAAAAGGATGGGAAAAAAAAAAAAAATTAACAAAGCTTTTACAGAAAGGTATCGAGGAGAGCCAGGAAGCAAATCCCATGACTCCTAGTCACAGTAATTTTAATATTGTTGTATAACCTTTCTGAACCTCAATTTCTCTATCTGAAATAAAGACACAATACCCACTGTGTCTACCTCTTAAGGTGTTATAAGATCATAGACAGAATGTAAGGTATTTGTACATTGTAAAAAACAATGTAAAGTTGTTTTGTACATTGTAAAACAAAATTAAAGTTGTAGTGATTACATTACTTCTATTATGTTCTGGCACTGTGGGTATGAGCTTTAGGGAAAGCTTCTAACCAGAACTGTGTATAGTACCATGGAAGTAAAAGAGTTAATGTGTTTTCACCTTTATTGGACTGTCATTATTGTCTGTCTGTCTGGCCTTTTGCAAACTTTTGGAGCTAGCCTAATTTCTGAAAATTCCAGTGGAGGAAGAAATAGAATCCTTATTTCCACAGATTCCTATTTCCCTTGAATCTTATCAAAATGGTAGGTAGATGCTTGATCAGAGCTTGGGATCTGGATGCATCCCTCCAGATGTCCACTAGTGGGTGCTTCAGAATGGAAAAACTGCTTTCTTCATGGTAGGCACAAGCAGGGCAGGGCCTTGGCTATCAGTCTGGAGGAACAGAATTCCAGAAGCTGTTCCCCCAGCAAGGTCAGTGATTGAGCAGACTGTCTTTTGCTATAACTATGATAGACCTGGGTGTTCAGGAATTCCCTTCTCTTTCAAGGGTTGTTGATAAGATGGGCTGGCCAATTTGAAAATAAGACATAAAGCAACACGCAAGCCTGGCATTATGTTTTGTAAGAAGGTTGCTTTATCATCTCTTCCACTGATCTCCTATGACTTTCCTGAATCACACTTACAAATAAAATTTTAATTTTTGTTGTCCTTTTTTTTCTTTCATTTATTTACTATCTTTGGCAAAATAAGGACTCCAGTTTCAAGGATGTGAGGAGCCATCAAAAATATAGGAAATACAGGAAGAGGGAGCAATACAGAATCAGAGAGAGGGTCAGAGGGATGATGGCTGAGGCCTTTACGAGGTCATATTAGTTCACACATCTTTTTTGATAAACACTGTTTGATTATTCTAGATTCTTGAGAGCCCTCTTGGGTTACATGTTCACCTGTTGAGTCCAGACTTTGAAAAGGTCATTTTTGCTTAAGTTTGGTGTTATCGTCAGTACTCCTATTGCCCCTGCCAAATTCCTGAATCTGTAGCTCAACCTGGAGTCCTGTACTGTCCCTCTCCTGGGAGTGATGCTCACTATTCCTCTCACCAGATTGACTGTGGTGGGCAGTGGACTTGAAACTGCCTAGACCTAAATTTGTATACTGGAACTATTTTTCTCAGCAGGAAGTAAAAGATGAGTTTGGGCTGAAGGAGTTAGGGAGTCATTTCAGGTGGAGTTGGCTCTTGTACTAGTCTATGAAAGATGTGTAAAAGTTTAGTTAGGTGGAAAGGAGGAAAGGTGGTACTCTAGGTCAGGAAACAGAATGATTAAAGGCCTAGGGGAAGGAATGAATATGACATATTTCAGGGTGAGCATTGATTTGGCTGGAGAGGAGAGTGCCTGTGGGGAACAAACAGTGTGAAATGGTAAAGTAAACTGAGTCTAAAACCTGGATTGCTTCGAATGATAGCGGAGAATTTAGACTTTATCCCATAGATCATGGGTATCACTGATTACTTTTTGAACAAGGAAGGGACAGGTAAAAGAGATGGTTTAGATGGTTGGAACTGTAGAAGGACATAGAGTGGGTTGGAAGGCATTAGCTAAGTACAAAAGCAGCTTTAGGAATTCAGGAGCAAGGGGAAAAGGTCTTGATGAGAGTGATGTTGGGGAGAATGGGAAACAGAGTCTTATACTGGAGGCTTTTGAAGGGAGAATTGGAACTTGCTGTCTGGCTGTGAGTGGGGAAAGGAAAGAGAGAATAAAGCAGAAGTCAGAGATTTGAGCTTCTGTAGCCAAGAGATCAATAGTACCAATGTTAGAAATAGTGACACTGAGAAGACAGGCTAGTTGATGTAGACACATATAGCTAGGTTAAGTTTGAGATACAGTGGGAAAAACTCTGAGAGTGTGTGAAATCCAGAGAGTGCTGCAAACTAAAGGGTTTTTGTTGTTGTTTTTACTTTTTATTTCATTTTGTTATTATTATTATTTTTTAATTTGTAGCAAACTCATTTGCAACAAAACCTGGCCTGAACATATGGGGCTATTTATGGTCCCTCTTTCTTCCACTTACTGTGAATATTCATGTTATTCATTGCAAAAATTAGAATAGTTTGGATAACTAGCTGTACTGTCTTAACAAATAAACCTTAAATCTCAGTGACTTATCATAATATGTCTAGTACAAGGAGACAGAAGGTCAGTGTTTCTCCAGAGTCACTTATCAACCTGGACTGAGGGGGGCTCCACTGTTCTGGGACATGTGGCTGCCAGGGAAGAGAGCATGGAACTCAGTTCCGTTCCCAGCTCTTGGTCAGAACTAGGCACAAAGCCCCAGACTAACTTCAAGAAGTACAGGGGAGTGCAAGAAATACTTGTGAGCATTCTGCCTCTGCCATAGGAGTGCTGCCCTAGACAGTCTCCCACATTCCTGCAGAGGGAGTCACATGATATACAGAACATGTACCATACTACCTTTCTAAATCCAAAATGTGCACTCTGAAACACTTTTGGCCCCAAGAGTTTTGGCTAAAAGATAATGAACCTGTATTATCATTTATTGAGCATTTATTATATATCAGGTTTTGTTCTAATATCTTTACCCAATTAATACCATTCAATTTTTTTTTTTTCCTTTTTTTTTTGTCTTTTTTTTTTTCGTGACTGGCCACGGATCGCAACCCTCAGTGTCGCGCCCGTACTGGACCGGGACCGGCAACGGGATCGCAACCCTCGGTGTTGCCCCCGCACCTCGCTCAGCCACTGAGCGGCCGGTCTGTATGTGGGATCCGAACCCTCGGCGGGAGCGCCGGCACGCTCCCAAGCGGCGCACTGTAGCAGTGCGCCACCGGGCCGGCCCGATACCATTCAATTTTTTGATAACACAGTGAGATAGATATTATCATCATTCTCACCTTACAAATGAGGAAACTGAGTCACAGAGAGGTTAAGCAACAAGTTCAAGGTCACACAGCTAGGAAGTTGCAGAGCCAGGATTTGAGGCAAGTAGTTTGACACTACATATCTGCCTCAAATACAGGTAGAAGGTAGGGAGATGAAGCTTTGCTTAAGAGATTGTGGCTGGACATAGCCATTTAAGTATCTTCTATTTAGAGGCTGACTGATTAAGCTTATTCCCATTGAAGTGAAGATGTGAGAAGAGGGAAAGCCAGAAGCCAAAAGTCCAAATGTCGGGGAATGGTCACATGTGGAGGGTGGGGTGGGAAAGGCATGAAGAAGAGGAACTAGCAAAGAAGCAGAAGTGGTTAGAGTGGTGGTAGGTTCCCTGGGCTGGGATAGAGTCACAGAAGTCAGAGGAGGACTTGGCAATCAGTGTGAAATGCTTCAGAGAGGTCAAGGAGAATGGTTGGCAGGAAGGAATTGAATCAAGTTATCTTTATCTGAACTTCCCTTATCCATGGCTTATTATGGTCAGCCTGACAGGGGAAACTCAGATTTAGGAACTCGGCAGATTTGGGCACACTATAGGGTACATTGAAGCTGGTCAGTGACCTGCATCCTGTTCTGAAAGGCTGTCATGGCATCAGAGAAGTCATCTTGTTTATACTGCACACTAGTCACAGGCTTGGTTGGTCTTGTGTAGGAGTGATTTGTGGTTTGGAACAAAAGTTTAATTCCCTTTCTGACTAAATTCATGTAGAATAGTACTTGGGTACTACTCTTGGGCCCATGATGAAATAAATTTAGTTCCTTCAGTCCCATAAAGAGTCTGAGGAGGTTCCTTCATAGGTGCATCTAAATGTAATGTTGTTCCAGTTTAAGAACGAGTTTTATTATGTTTTTTACCACAATTTTAAAAAATGAAAAAAAAGATAAAAATCAACAGGAGAAAAAGCTGAGGAAATTTGAATAAATTATAGACTTTAGTTAATATGTCAATATTGGGTAATTAATTGTAACAAAAAGAAATATACCATACTAATGTTAAGATGTTAATAATAGGGCCGGCCCGGTGGCGCACTGCTACAGTGCGCCGCTTGGGAAGCGCGGCGGCGCTCCCGCCGAGGGTTCGGATCCCACATACAGACCGGTTCCCGCTCACTGGCTGAGCGAGGTGCAGGGAGCAACACCGAGGGTTGCGATCCCGTTGCCGGTCCCGGGCCGGTACGGGCGCGACACAGGGTTGCGATCCGTTGCCGGTCATGAAAAAAGACAAAAAGGAAAAAAAAAAAGATGTTAATAATAGGGGAAATTGTGTGTGAGGGGGAGAAGGATATAAGGGAACTCTGTGCTATCTGCTCAACTTTTCTGTAAATCAAAAACCATTCTAAAATAAAATATATTAATTAAAAAAATAATAATGAGAGCTATACCAAGGTATGCTGGGCTATAGGCAGGCGCAGGTGAAAAGATGTAGTAACTCACCTACAGGGACAGATAGGACTACAAACTTCAGCGAGCACTTGGGATATTCCAGGGTTAGTTGTGGAAATAGAGTGTGGGAAGCTGGAGACGGCATGTCGCAGTATGGCAGCATGTCTCAGGCACTGTGCTTTGGAGGGCTCTTGTTGTGGAAACTGCTTAGAGAAGGATGAAAAGAAGACAGTGGAAAAACTGCTGTCACTCAGATAAACCTTGAATTCATACAGTAACTCCCTCCATCACACTGCCCTACCTTCCCACTTGTGTACACGAGTATTCATGTGTATACACGTGCTCGCACACTCACTCTCTTACCTAGAATGCAGATCAGATGGGGCGCCCTGCCTTTCTGTTCTACCTGCTCCATTGCCATCCACCCACAACCTCAGCCAAAGGCTCCCCTACTGGTTCCCAGCTTGCTGCATGATTGGTACCCTAGTTTTCATTATTTCTCCAGATATGGGGAGCTTTCCATCTCTTTCTCCATGATTTCCAAAAAGTAAGGTCACAAAAGATCTTTTGACAGTTTCCTTCTTTCAGTGTTCCCATTGAAACCCTGCATCTATGACTAAAATAAACCTTATCAGCCTGTGTGACACTTAGTTGTAGCATAGCTTGGTAGATCAGAGTGAGGCTTCCAGGGTTTGAATCCTGACTCTTCCTTTATGAGCAGTGTGACCTTACCTTGGGAGAACTTATTTAACTTCATTATAACTCATTTCTTTTGTAAAGTAGGGACAATAATAGTACCTGTTGTGAGGATTAGTTTAACTAATATATGTAATTGCTTAGAACAGTGCTTTTAGTACACAGTAAATGCTCAGTAAATGTTAGCTATTATGCATTATTGACGGATAAAGTGGTCCATATGTTATATTAAAGCTATGTCACGGCTATGTTTTGAAGAGTTATCACATTTACAAGCCTTATTCCTTAGGGGAGCCTTGTTGTTTGCTGTTTAGTACGATGCACTTTCCAGGGACACTAAGCTCTTGGAGCCTCAGTTTCCTTGTCCTTAAAATAATGGATTAAAGAATGCTATTCTTGTATTCTAATTTAGTGATTCTCAAGGTATAGTCTGGTGACTCCTAGGAGGTTTGCAAGACCCTTTCAGAGGGTCTGGGGGTCCATGAGGTCAAAACTGTTTTTGTAATACTACTGAGATATTTGCCCTTTCACCCTCATTCTTTTAAGAACGTACAGTGGAGTGTTCCAGAGGCTACATGATATGTTATCGCAACGGATTGAAAGCAGAAGCAGATGTGAGAATCCAGTTGTCTTAGGCCATGCATTAAAAACATTTGCATTCTCTTGCTAAATTTTTTTGGAAAGTGTGGTTTTTTTACAAAAATATATTTCTATTAACATTTTGAGTTGTTAGTTGCTATTTTTAAATGAATAAAATAAATGTAAATTTTCTCACTTTTAATTTCTAATATGGTAAATATCAATAGATATAATCCACATAAACAAAAGCTCTTTGGGGTCCTCAATAATTTTTAGAGTGAATTAGAACCACTGTTCCAATTCAGTGGACTGGAAGAGAGTTCTAATTCCTTGGGAAAAGGGGGTCCTTTATGCACCTACTCTACTCTTCAAACTCTTTCCCTCTTCTGTTATCTTCTCTGTCTGTGTGTTCCTCATCTTCAGATACTCTTATGCCACCTTCTTTCTCCCAAGCCCTCATTATTGATTTGTCTTTCTCAGTATAATTTTTGTTCATTGACTATGAAACCTTTCTCTCCTCATCTCTTATTATTTGCTGGTTTCCTGACAATCTTACTTTTCTTTTCTTCTATACCTCTTCTTTCTTTCTATAATAGCTCTTGCCTTTTCCTGTTGTTTTAACTCCCTCAAGTTGTTTGGCCTTTTGCAATACCGCTTCCTCTTTGATTTGTTCTTTAACGTTCTGATACATCTACTTCCTCTTATTTCTGGTATATACACTCAGTTCTGTTCTTTAATTCACTTATCCACATAACAAGTATTATTAAGCCGAAATATTATATGTCATTCCTTTTGCTTGGCACTGTGGATATAGAAATAAGGTAGACATGAGTCCTGCTGTCCCGGAGTTTACAGGCCATGATGGCCATTTTAGATAAAGCTGGTGACAGTATATATTGTAATTTGTTCAGAATCGTATCTATCCCCATTGGAGAAGCTTTGGGAGGACCATGAGAAATCAGTGATAGCAGTATCTACAGTAGCAGGCAGCAAAAACCATTTATTGCATGTCTATTGTGTGTCAGGTATTTTACTTAACATTATCTCATTTTGTTCATAGAGGAACTCTACAAGGTATGTTTAGCCCCACTCTACAGATAGAAAAAATCATAGGGGATAAGTAATTTGTCTGTGGTAATGTAGCTAGGAAGTATCAGTAGCAAGATTTAGTTTTCTGGTAAGTCACATCAGCCAAGAAGGAAAGGTATTCTGGTCAGGAGGTGATGTGGTGGGAGAAACTTCAGAGCCAGTTATAGAAATAGGGAGTGTATAAAGCTGGAAATGGTATGTCAGAGCATAGCAACTGAACTGGGACAGCCACCTAGGGATCTTGTCCTAGGAGTTTTTTTGCCCCTGAGTTTAGAACTGGAAGTTGTAACTCATTGGAAAGGAATGCCTATCTGGGTCGAGAAGTTAGACCACGAGCCATGTTTCCCTAATTTTGCTAACAGACTGCCCAAGGCTTACCTGAGAATGGTAGGTGTAACACATTCCAGAGAACCTTCTAACCTGTGTGTCATTTCTTTTGGCAGAGTGATGTCAGAATCAAGTTTGAGCACAACGGGGAGAGGCGGTAAGTCTGCCTTCTGATTGGTAGTTATATTCATGTGTGCACAAGTTCTCAGAAAGCATCAAGCTTGTTGAAGCTGTTCTCCTTTTGTAATCCCTGTGGGACCACTGGCTGGGTGATGGGATGGATTGAGCATAAAGGGGAATGTTCACCCTTGTCTTGGCCTACCAGTTTAACCTTGTTTCTGGTCTTAGAATTGGAAGCCATTTCAACTGCTGATGTTTTACTATTCTGCTCCATTCCACTACTGGGAGTTTGCCATTTTGCTAGGGGAGGAAGTAAGGAATCCACCTCTACTCAGAGTCATGGCTATCAGACACACTGATAGTGTGCCGCCTGTGGGCATTAGAGTGAGGTCTGGATTCTCCTGAAAGGTGGTAACATTTCTATCCCCAGTAGAATAGCCCTGGCTTTGTCCACATCAGGGGCCAGGTTGGTGAATTGGAAGTTTCTTCATAATGTTTCCAGGTCATGGGAAGTTGCACCAAGTTCATCAGTTGTGAGAGATTTCAGATCCTTTGAGGACATAGGAAGAGGGAGTTTTTCGGTCAGTTTTTCTGACTCTTACCTCGTTAGGGAAGTGAAAGTAATGTTACAAAACTCTTCTGTCCTTTTCTCCATTGACAGTTGTATTAGTCCATTCCTATTGCTTATAACAGAATACCTGAAACTGGGTAATGTATAAAGAAATGTAATTTATTTCTTACAGTTTTGGAGGCTGGGAAATCCAAAGTCTGGGGAACACATCTGATGAGGGCCTTGTTGGTGGGAGGTGACACTTCACAGCAGCAGGGTGTCACATGGTGAATATGGCAGGAGCAAGAGAGAGGGAGCTTCTCAGTTGCTTTCCTTTAAAGCCATCATAACTATGCCTATGACCACCATTAAACCATGAGTGGATTAATCCATTCACTAGGGCATGATCCTCACAATGTAATCACCTCTTAAAGGCCCCACCTTTCAATTACCGTAGTAGGATTTCCCACCCTCTTAACACTGAAACAGTGGGAATGAAGTTTCAGTGTGCTTTGCGGGGGGACATTCAACCCACAGCACCAGTATTTTAGTTATTATTATTGTTTTTGTGTGTGTAGTGGGAAGAAGTTCTCAGTGGAGAAAAATGTGGCTCCACTTAATTTCTCAAGTTATTTAAGGAAAAACATTTAAAAAGCATACAGAACTCTGGTCATGGGATATTTGGGACCGCGTGTGTGCATGTAAGTGTACCTTTTGATGTTCATTTCCCACTCTTTGCCTTTCTGTATGTTGATATCCCCCTTTTCCTTTGCTTTGAGCATTTGGAGAGGCAAAGACCATACCTGTGAGGATGAGTTCTTCCTACATTAAGAGTTCCACAGTAGGACCTTAGTACCTCTGAACATAGCTCTGGTAGTTCTCTGCAGCTGACACCTTTTAGCCTACTTTGAAACTAGCACCAGAGGAGATCTAGGGCTGCTGTCCTTCCTTAAAAAGATATGTTCACAGGGGCCGGCCCGGTGGCACACTGCTATAGTGTGCCGCTCGGGAGCGTGGCGGCGCTCCCGCCGAGGGTTCGGATCCCACATACAGACTGGTTCCAGCTCACTGCCTGAGCGAGGTGTGGGCGCAACACCGAGGGTTGCAATCCCATTGCCGGTCCCGGTCCAGTACGGGCGCGACACTGAGGGTTGCGATCTGTTGCCGGACACGAAAAAAAGACAAAAAAAAAAAAAAAAAAGAAAAAGAAAAGATATGTTCACAGCCTGCAAAGTGGTCAGAGGGTGCCCGGTGGAGACATTGTGGCAAGTGTGGTAAGTGGAGCCAGGGTCCTGCTGCTTCCAGGTAGGTTCTAGGGGGCTATTCCAGGCCTGGAGGGAGGAAGATCTTCTGAGCTTTGTCCCCAGCTGCTCATCCTGTGTCCTGCCAGTAGCAGGGAAGTTAAATTGTCACTTCGTTGTTGCTGCTTTTTACACTTTCTGACCTGACTGGGTTTTGAAGGGATGGCTAAACTCAGAGCATCAGAGTTTTCAGAAGTAGATATGAAATCAAAAGCTCAGTTATGTTGGAGCCTAATTATGCAGTTACACTCTCCCGAATTCCCTGTTCCCAAAGTGGTACGGAGTTATAGTGAGTAGACTTACACTGAGAAAAGTGTATGTATTTGGTTTCAGAGAAGCTGCCAGATTGAAACCACAAATATTTAAGGTGGTCAGGCAGGAATGGCCTTTTGAAGCCCTGAGTGGCAGAACGTTGGTATCAAGATTTTGGAAGCTCTGCATTCTCTCTTTTTATGGAGCTGTCTTCAGGAGCCATGGCATTTCACTGTTATGTGTGGAACTGAGGACTTTATAAAGTTGATGCGGGGAAGCCAAATTCAAGCTGCTCTCTGACGGACGGCTCTAGTGTCATGTATTTTGTGTCTTAGAGAATGTCATTGTGGGCTTTCTTTACTTTTTATGGGGAATATGAGGAGTATCTATCTAAATGTAGGCCCTTATAGAATTAGAATTTACAGAAAAGAGGAAAGAAGTAGACTTTCTGATTCATTGATGCCAAATATCCATTCTGGTGGGCTAACTTTCCCTTTGCTTTGGAAGGGTGAGGACCAGACCCCTGACCCTCCTCCCACTTAGTTCCAGCAGGATAGAAGAGGAGGATTGAGGATTAGGATCTCCTTCCCTTTGAAAATCTTAATGGCAAGACACTGATGGAAGTGGTTGTAATGGGTGTTAGACCCTTATTTGAGGCACTGGCCTAAAAATGCCTATTATTCAATGTGATGACAGCAGCTTAGATCTTACCAAATCTGGAAGTCTTGGTTTCTGATCTTGACCAAACTTTTGGACTGCTTTTTCAGGTTTTGAATGGCTCATTGCCAGGCCAAATGCAGAAGAGTTTACCTCTGAGCCTGATCCTTTTCCATTAGTTTGCTAGGAACATCTGAGTGGACTTCTGGGATTTTATCCAGAAAGACTGGCCCCTTTTGGACTGTTGCTGAGGCCCTGATGCAGGGGGGGTGGGGAAGTGATTTGCTATTAGGAATTAATGAAGAGCCATTCTCTCAAAAGCCTCCAGAAAATACCCCCATCTAGACAGCGCATCTAGATAGAACCTAACAGTATCGCTGCTTGGGACTGTTGATTTGACAGAAAAAAAAATAAGGATTGAGATGGATTTCCTAGTGGAGACAAACCAGTATAGTTGGCAATATAATTTCCAAAAAATGAAAGGTGGTGATGAATGAGGGAAAGATTATGGAGGAATTATCTTCCTGAGATGTTAGGCTTTGTGTGAAGGATAGGTTATGGTTTATAGTAATATTCTATCAACATTGCCCAATAGAATGGTCTGCGACAATGGAAATATTCTTTATCTGTGCTGTCCAATACAGCAGCCACCAGCCATATTGTAGCTAGTGAGCACTTGAAATATGGCTAGTGAGACTGAGGAACCAATTTTTAATTTAATTTAATTAATTTAAATTTAAATAGCCACATGTGGCTAGTAGTTGCCACATTGAATACCTCAGTTCCAGATGATGAAGGCTTTTATGCTGCTCACTGATTTAAGCCAACCTGGCACAGGAAGAACATAAAAGAAGTTATCTGGTCAGATTTTATTTTAAAACCTAGTGGCTTAGATCTCTTTCCTGTGTCTTATTGCTTCTTCCTCTGTTTATTCCACTTCCCACTCTGGAGGAGCAGGGAAGATGTGAAAGAGCCACACATTTCTTTGTGTCAGCCTGGAGGAGGGAAGAAGTGTAGAGGCCCATGGCTTAGGGCTGCTGCTCCACCCCATGCTAGCCTGATTTTGTCCTGCCCAGGTGTGCTTAAGAGATGGAGGTTGTTTTAATATGTATTTCCTAATCACATTGAGCATCTTTTCATGTGTTTATAAGCCATTCATAAAATACTTGCAAAAAAAAAAAAACTCTTCTGTGAATTGTGTCATCTTTTGCCTATTTTTCTGTTGGGTTGTTGGTCTTTATCTTATCGATTTTTTTTTTTTTTGTAAGTATTTTCTCCAAGTTTGATATTTGTTTTTTAACTTTGATGGTTTATTGTGACATCAGAAGTTAAAATTTTTGTTGTCAAGTCTATCTTCTTCCTTTTTGTCTTCTGTATTTTATGTTATGCTTGGGAAGACCTTCCCCACTCAAAGATTTTTTTTTTTTTTCCCTTTTTGTCTTTTTCCGTGTCCGGCAACGGATCGCAACCCTCAGTGTCGCCCCTGTACCGGACCGGGACCAGCAACGGGATCGCAACCCTCGGCGCTGCCCCCGCGCCTCGCTCAGCCAGTGAGCGGGAACCGGTCTGCATGTGGGATCCGAACCCTCGGCAGGAGCGCCGCCCCGCTTCCCAAGCGGCGCACAATAGCAGTGCGCCACCGGGCCGGCCCCTCAAAGATTTTTTTTTTAAATCCTGTATTTCTTATATATGTGTATGTGAGTTTTTTTCTCATATTCTCTTGTGTTTCACTTATCTTTTTGCTTAATTTTTCTATTCAAGTTCTAGAGTATTGGGTTGGATCCAAAAGAAATTGCCTTTTTTTTTTTTTTTCCCCTTTTTGTCTCTTTTTTACTGACCGGCAACGGGATCACAACCCTCGGTGTTGCACCCGCACCGCGCTCAGCCAGTGAGCGGGAACCGGTCTCCACATGGGATCCGAACCCTCGGCGGGAGCGCCACCGCGCTCCAAGCAGCGCACTCTCCAGTGCGCCACCGGGCCGGCCCGAAATTGCCATTTTTATACATCAGAAATGATCAGCAGCAGTCTCATATAGTTCAACTTAATATATTCATTAAAACTTTTTATTTTGAAAATTTCAAACACATATGAACAGAACAGAACATTATACTAAACTCCCATGGACCTGTCACCCAGCTTCAGCATTGAGAGCATTTTGTGAATCTTGTTCCATCTATCACCACTTTTTAATTTTGCTGGGGTATTTAATAACAAATCATATTTTAATACCCCTTTGGACAAGTTCTTACTGCATCTTATTTATAGAAATTGTTCTTTGAACTGACCTAATGAGTCTCCAGAAAAGCTACAATATCAACACTACTTACAAGCCCAGATATATTACAGGTTAAGAAAACTGATCAGGGGCCGGCCCGGTGGCGCACTGCTACAGTGCGCCGCTTGGGAGCGCGGCGGCGCTCCTGCCGAGGGTTTGGATCCGACATACAGACCGGTTCCCGCTCACTGGTTGAGTGAGGTGCGGGCCTCAACACCGAGGATTGCGATCCCGTTGCCGGTCCCGGTCCGGTGCGGGCGCGACACTGAGGGTTGTGATTCGTTGCCGGACACGAAAAAAGACAAAAAAAAAAAAAAAGAGAAAACTGATTAGGCATATCGCCAGCTCACGGGGAATTCCTGTGAGTCTGTAGTAGGAAATCTTGGTTCTGAGGATAATCAGTATTCAGATTCCTGTGGCATCAAAGAACAATGGAAAAGACCTTTCAAGTCCTGGGGTTGAATCATTTAGGTGTTGAGACCATGTTTTCAGGACTGCTGCTCCAGTCTCTAGGTTTTCTAGTTTGTTTTCTAACAAGAGTATTCAGAACATAGTTTTTAAATCCAGTGGCCTGCTATGATGCCGTCATTGGCAGAAAGGTCCAAGCTGAAGTGGTAGAATGAATGGTTGGAACTGAGCTATCTTTATGGCTACTATTGATAAACCTGAGAGATGCTCAGAAGAAGGGTAAAAAGTTAAAGGTAGATAAGAGAAGAACAAGAAGCAATAGAGAGAAAGGCAAACAGAGTGAAAGAAAAAAGAGAATCCTGTGTTAAGAAGAAAGGAAAAATACAGGGAACTTCAAAAAGTTTGTGGAGAAATAGATTTAAAAGATAGTGTGACTCTTTTCCATGAACTTTTTGAAGTACCCTCATGTACTCTAGCCATTGCTTTCTAAACCCTACATTTTAAATATACAATTAACCAATCTTCCTGTTCCTTTTCAGAATTATAGCATTCAGCCGTCCTGTGAGATATGAAGATGTGGAGCATAAGGTGACAACAGTATTTGGGCAACCTCTTGATCTACATTACATGAACAATGAGGTGAGAAGGTAGATGAATGGTGCAGGGACAAGAGGGACAGCTGCCTACCTTTTTTCTGTCTGCTTAACTGAGCCTTTTTTAGTTTGTTTCTCTAATATCATCTGCAGGTTTTTATTTCTTGGAGCCCCTTTTCTTAATTCCAACAACTCTGGGATTTCTGTTTTTACTCCATAGAAGATTATACAGCTGTTTCTATTCTCCCTACTCATTCAGTGCAGGGAGCTCTAACAGTCCATGGCAAAATCAGGTATGGTACCAGGGCCACGGTTTATATTGTCTCCAATGTATTTTGTAGAGGTATCTTTTTCTTTCTAGTACAGCCTTAACAAGAGGCAGAGGGTTTAGCAGGGATTGGGAGGTGTCGAAAACCAGTGGGTAGATCCTCTATCAGTCATAAATGTTGGATTCTTCTCTCAGAGTTTAAGTCCTGATTATAGCTTATTTGTTTTGAAAGTTAGCACCTACTCCAATGATTTCATTAACTTCTTCCTCCTCACTCCACCCCAACAGTCCTTATCTATTACTACTTTGAACATCACCCAGGAAGAAATTCTTTTGAATGTCAGTTACTCGGCTGCTTTTCAACTTCAAGAAATGTACTAATGGCCACAATCAGCTTAGGATGGTGCTTTGCATTAGCCTGAAAGGCAGTGTGGTTAAGCCTGGTAAAGAGCATGTATCTTGAGGGAATTGAGTTATGGGGGAAAGACAAGAAAGGGGACAACATCAGGGCTCTTTGAGAGTCAGATCCTCACCATGTAGTTTTATTTGATTTGATGAACAATTAAAAAATTTCATCATAGGGCCGGCCCGTGGCTCACTCGGGAGAGTGTGGTGCTGATAACATCAAGGCCACGGGTTCGGATCCCATATAGGGATGGCCGGTTAGCTCACTGGGTGAGCATGGTGCTGACAACACCAAGTCAAGGGTTAAGATCCCCTTACCGGTCCTCTTTAAAAAAAAAAAAAAATTTCATCATCGTTTAGGGCTGAAATCTGCAGGTGCTGAATTTTTTGCCTAAACACTCCCTGGTCCCCTTCCTACAAAATAGACAACTGCATTGGATGTATTGTCAACCAGCTTACTAAAATAAGAACATCTGATCTTTTGTTTTTGGATAAATTTTAGAAATACAGCAAATTTGGAAAATAAATCACTTAACTATAGTTAATAAATAATATAGATTCAAGTATTTTAAAGTATGTAAACTAATACATTTTAGATATAGGATATAAGAACCCCAAAAATATAAATGTCAAATTCATAAAACTTTAAAAAATTGTACATAGTGCAGCTCAAGCTTCAGCGATTGCATAAGGAAGGGAGGCTAAGGTCAGCTTGCTAATCAACATTAAAGATGTTCTTTAGTTAGTAAAGACTTTTCTAGATGATTTAATGTTCTTTTCTCTTCCAGTTAATATTGCCATTAAGAATTCCAGATGTCGGGCCGGCCCGTGGCTCACTCGGGAGAGTGCGGTGCTGATAACACCAAGGCCACGGGTTCGGATCCCATATAGGGATGGCTGTTTCGCTCACTGCCTGAGCATGGTGCTGACAACACCAAGTCAAGGGTTAAGATCTCCTTACTGGTCATCTTTTAAAAAAAAAAAAAAAAAAAAAAAAGAATTCCAGATGTCCCTAAATCCATTTTCAAACTCTTTTGCCAACAAAATGACTGCCCAGGATGTCGCATGTTTCCTTATTTAAATGTTTATGCAGATATTAATTCTGAAGCCAAATATAAATAATTATTATTAGTCTTTTAATTTTTATTTTTAAGAGAATTATTTTTTAGGAAACTTAGATCGCAACTTCTAAACCCTCATCACAATGACTTTTATTTGTGTTTGCTACATAAACATGCAGTGGCAATTCATGGCACTTGGAAATTTGTTCAGATGTGAAAGAAGATTGAGGAAATCAATTTCCTCATTTTGGAAAGGGTGTTCTCTCACAAAAAATTTACCAAGTTCAAGATAGACCTGTTCAGCAAAATCCAGTACTATTCACTCAGTACTTTATAAATGGAATATTTTCTACTTTTATCCATTTCCCCAGGCTTATGGACCCAATCTTACTCTCCATATTTAGAATCACAGGTTCCTTTCTGAAGAAATCTTAATTTTAAGATAAAACATGGTCTAAGCTCTTGAATTCCCACTTTGTTTTCACTTTTGAATATGTATCTGTGAAATGTGAAGAAGATAAAATCCCACTGATTGTGGAATGTGATGACCTGCCTTCTGATAAATTGAGGATTATGAGGAAAAAGGTGAAAACATATATCCAACCAAATGACCTAGCCGTGTTATAAGGTTATTCAGAATTATTTCAAGTACATGTTCTGGGGGTCCTTGCCTCTTCTCTTAATTTCTTTACAAAGGTGAATACTGCTCACTTTAAAATGAGCAGTTGGACCATTTGGCAAGTGACTCAAAAGAAATCCATTTGATGTTTTACATTCTTTGTTAATAATCAGATCTATGAAATCTCTTGAGATGCACTGTGGAATAATTTTTTTCAAAGCCAGTTCTCTTCTGTAAAAAACATGTGAGTTTGGTATAACTGTGAACAGCTGTTCAGAGTCTTACTATTCTCCCATGAGGTCTGTTTGATGTTGTGATGAGAATCTTGGGAGAAGTTTGTCTGTTGAAGTAAGAAGCAAATTCATCTGTAGCTTTAGCGTAAGCAACCTCTTCATCATTAGGGTTTACTGTGGTTTCATTATATACTCACATTATCACCAAGAGCTTCTTTCTTTTTTAGGCTTTTTCTTAGCTGCCAACTTTTCTTTCCACTGCTGCTCTTTCCACCATGTGAACATTAAGTGTTGCCACTATTTGTTCTTAATCTGTGAAATGCTGAAGACTGGGGGAAAGACATCCGCTTTGGGGGGTGGGACCCTGCTTTCTCTCATTCAGTGCCCAGCAGCTGCAGCCTCCTGAGGTTCTTCTGTAGCACCTTTCTGTTTCAGTCTTTTCTTCCTACTGCCACCACTCTTCATTAATTATTATTATTATTATTATTATTTTTTTTTTTTAAAAAGATGACCGGTAAGGGGATCTTTACCCTTGACTTGGTGTTGTCAGCACCACGCTCAGCCAGTGAGCTAACCGGCCATCCCTATATGGGATCCGAACCCGGGGCCTTGGTGTTATCAGCACCACACTCTCCCGAGTGAGCCACGAGCCGGCCCTTCATTAATTATTTTTGATCATGCATGTCTTTCTGTATTCTACTAATGTCGGTGATCAGGGGTTGACTAATTTCCATTTTATTAATTTTTTTTTCTTTTTACTTTTTATTTATTTAAAATATATCCCTCAATTTCTTTCTTTTCTTTGCCCTTTAAGCCCTGCCCTGTCAGGATTTGAGAATCCAAAATGAAAACACTATTGAGGTTTTTTCTTTTTGTCTTTTTTGTGACCGGTAAGGGGATCGCAACCCTTGGCTTGGTGTCGCCACACCGCGCTCAGCCAGTGAGCGCACCGGCCATCCCTATGTAGGATCCGAACCCACGGCAGGAGCGCCGCTGCACTCCCAAGTGCCGCACTCTCCCGAGTGCGCCATGGGGCCAGCCCTGAAGTTTTTGTTTTACTTATATTTTGGTAGTTACAGATAAGTTGAGAAAAATTTACCCACCATAAAATTCACCCTTTTAAAGTGTACAACTCGGGCCGGCCCGGTGGCGCACTGCTACAGTGCGCCGCTTGGGAGCACGGCGGCGCTCCCACCGAGGGTTCAGATCCCACATACAGACCGGCCGCTCACTGGCTGAGCGAGGTGCGGGCACAACACTGAGGGTTGCGATCCCGTTGCCGGTCCCGGTCCGGTACGGGTGCGACACTGAGGGTTGCGATCCGTTGCCGGTCACGAAAAAAGACAAAAAGGAAAAAAATAAATAAATAAAAAAATAAAGTGTACAACTCAGTGGTTTTTTAGTATATTCACAGAGTTGTGCAACCAGCACCACTGTCTAATTCCACAATATTTCATCACCCCAAGGAGAAACCCTATACCCATTAGCAGTCACTCTTTTCTCCCCTCTACCTAACTCCTGGCAACCACTTATCTATTTTTTGTCTCTGTGGACTTTCCTATTCTGAACATTTCGTATAAGTGGAATCATGTAATATGTGGCTTTTTGTGTCTGGCTTCTTTCATTAAGCTTGTTTTCAAGGGTCATCCGTGTTGTATCATGTATCAGTACTTCAGTGCTTTTCATGGCTGAATAATATTCCATTATATCAATATACCACATTTTTTGTATCCATGCATTGAGGGACACTTGGGTTGTTTCCACTTTTTGGCGATTATGATAATGCTGCTATGAACATTTGTGTATGAGTTTTTATGTAAACATATGTTTTCAGTTCTCTAAGGTATATACCTAGGAGTTGAATTGCTGGGTCATGTGGTAACTCTATTTAACTTTTTGAGGAACTGCCCAGCATTTCCATAACAGCTGCACCATTTTACATTCCTACCAGCAATGTATGAGTGTTGCAGTTTCTTTACCATCCTTGCCAACACTTTTTCTTTTTCTTTTTTTTTTTTATAGCCATCCTAGTAGGTGTGAAGTGCTATGTCATTTTGGTTTTGATTTGTATTTTCCTAATGACTAATGATGTTGAGAATCTTTTTTGTGTGCATTGGCCTTTTGTATATTTTCTTTGGATAACTGTGTATTCAAATCCTTTGCCCATTTTAAAAATTGGGTTATCTTTTTATTGTTGAATTTTAAGAGTTCATTATATGTTCTGTGTTCTAGACTCTTATCATACATTTGCAAAATTGTAGCTTGGTTTTTTGAAAGTTGACATCTCCCTGCCTCCAACAGTCCTTATTTATTCCTACTTTGATGAATGTCACCCAGGAAGGAATTCTTTTGCAATATGATATGATCTGCAAAACGTTCTCCCATTCCATAAGTAGTTTTGAGATTTAAAAAAAATTTTTTTTTTTTTTTGGTGGCTGGCCAGTATAGGGATCAAACCTTGGACCTTGGTGTTATCAGCACCACACTGTAACTAACTAAGCTAACTGGCCAGCCCTGAGATTTTAATTTAAATACTGTTTTTACTACTTGCTTTTTCCCTGCTTAGGATTTAGAGTTCTCATCTCCTTGTGTTATAAATTGGGAACTGGGGCCGGCCCAGTGGCGCACTTGGTAGAGTGCGGCGCTTGGGAGTGTGGCGGCGCTCCCGCCGAGGGTTCAGATCCCATATAGAGACCAGTCTGCTCACTGGTTGAGCGCGGTGCAGGCGCGACACCGAGGGTTGCGATCCTGTTACCGGTCACGAAAAAAAAGACAAAAAGGAAAAAAATAAATAAATAAATTGGGAACTGAATAAATTAGTTGGAATTTTGCTTGATTTTGTATTTGCCACACATGTATAAGATCTAGACATTTGCTAGGTCCTAGGCAAAGCATACTTTTGCATTTTTTAATACTTAGTACTCATAATGTGCTCTGCTTTTTTTTTTTCCTTTTTGCCTTTTTTACTGACTGGCAACGGGATCGCAACCCTCGGTGTTGCGCCTGCACCGCGCTCAGCCAGTGAGCGGGAACCGGTCTCCAAATGGGATCCGAACCCTCGGCGGGAGCGCCACTGCGCTCTCAAGCGGCGCACTCTCCAGTGCGCCACCGGGCCGGCCCATAATGTGCTCTGCTTTTAACAAGTGAGACTTATCTGCATCCTCAAGGACCTTCTTTTTAATACCTCAGTAGAATGAAAATGCAAGAGGTAGTTTTCAGGTTCTGGTCATTGACTTTGCCTTTAAACATTGAGATATTAAACCCTGCTATATTGTCTAAATTTGTGTTCTTATTTTAATAACAGTTTTCATCCTCTGCCCACTTCCCCTACCCCTCCTTTGCCTTTTCTGTATGTTCTATTAATGTCAGCACAGTTGGAGATAGGATGGGACATGATTCTCCTGCTTAATTTGGGAAGAAATATGGGGGCTATAACTGTTTAGGATTTGATGGTTTGGGGTAAAGGGCATTTCTGGAGAGGAAGCTCTTCCCAGAAAATATCTCAATAAGTACTGAGATGTGCTACAGCATGGATGAGCTCAAAAACATTAAGTGAAAGACACTAGATGCAAAAGACTTTGGGTCTTTATGAATTGAATATGAGTTGTTTGATTTCATTTAATATATGAAATGTTCAGAAAAGGCAAATCTGTAGAGACAGGATATAGATTAGTGTGGTTGCCTGGGGCTGGAGGTGGGAAAGGGGGAGGGACTGTAAATGAGCATAAGAGATCTTTTTGGAGTGATGGAAATGTTTTAAAGTTGAATTGTGGTAAGGGTCGCCCAACTCCGTAAGTTTACTAAAAATTATTAAATCGTATGCTTAAAAAAATACCTCTGTAGTTTCAACTAGATCTTTTAAGACCCCATAGTATCCAATGAGGTTGTTTTCTTCCAAACATATTTTTCTTTTTTTTATTTTGCAAACTGAAGCATTGAGATAGACTTGTATTTTATATGATTTCCATTTCTGTGTCCTGTGTCACAGCTCTCCATCCTGCTGAAAAACCAAGATGATCTTGATAAAGCAATCGACATTTTGGATAGAAGCTCAAGCATGAAAAGCCTTAGGATATTGCTGCTGTCTCAGGACAGAAACCATGTAAGTTGCCCCTGTCATGGCCCGGCAACTGAAGACAAAGCTTCCTTTCCTTCGGGAGCTTGCAGTTGCTTCCTTGACAGAATTTTATGTTCCTCAGCCACCGCCAAAGTGAGGGCGCAAGTGCAGCCCGGCTTACTATGTCGGTAGCATTTGATTTCACTGAGAAGCCATACTGTCAGTGTTAAATTTGCAGCTAATGGTATTTGGCTTATAATGTGTGGAGAAGGAGAACCCTTTAGGATAAAGGAGAAAATTCTTTTCTCTATATATTTATGTTCTTTCAGTTAGATTTAGATCCCAACAAGAGAGATTTGATTAGTGTGGGGTGCTGATTAGCAAAGGCTGTTAAGGATTTGAGACTACTGTGCTTTGTAAACCCAACTCCCACAACTCCTCAACAGCCTTGCCTTTCTTTAAGGGCACATGTAGGAAACAAATTTTTCCTTCTGTTAAATGGGGGAAAAGGCCATGGGCTGAAGGGCCTCTTGTAACTTAGCTGCTGCTTTACCAAATGGCAGTCACTCTATGGGAAGCGTCAGGACTAGGGAATTATCCCATATGCAGTTTCCTCTCCTCAAGGGTCCCTGGGGGCCCATATTTCACAAGAACACTTGCAATCAGGATCTGTCTTCTAATCACTGATTTCTCTACCAGTTTTCTTCAGATGCATGTTCCCGAAGGTTTCTTGGCACTCTTTACTTTCCTTACGCTTGAAGGCGGCCGACTGTGGACAGCTGACATGGCTGCATGAGAACTATGGATGTGCCGTACCAGGAGAGAGTTTAGGTGGACTGGGGCTCATGCTGACCATTCATTTCTAAAGAAACTTGGGGGGTTGGGCTGTCCTGTGATTAGGGGGAAGCATAGGAGAATGCAGTTAGGAAACCAGAGAATAAAGAAGATGTTTTCTAGTATTATTGCAGTGTCCCTGTGTATGAGCAGGTCTTCTCTATCCCAAATGTATCACTGTTCTGAGTATGTTTTGGAAAGTATTCTGAGGTAAAATATATACCTTATTATTTCATTTTCTGTTCAAGTTACTCACTTGCTCCTTATAGTCCTTCCTTATTTCCTATCATGTAAGATCTAAATTTAGGCAAGCACCCAGGGTTCACCACCAACTGTCCCTGCTTTCAACTTATCTTTCCACATTCTTCAGCATACTCCCCCTACTCCTGCAGCCCCACGGTTCTTCCTTCTTCCTCTTTGCCAGTGCAAGGCTATCACCATTTTTTCCAGATCCAGTTTGATTTACCTGCTACAAGTTGGTTAGTGTTTTTGACTGAGGCCATTTTTTTTTTTTTGTCTTTTGTCTGTTGCCGTGTCCAGCAACGGATCGCAACCCTCAGTGTTGCCCCCGTACCGGACTGGGGACCGGCAACGGGATCGCAACCCTCGGTGTTGCTCCCGCGCCTCGCTCAGCCAGTGAGCGGGAACCGGTCTGTATGTGGGATCCGAACCCTCGGGCGGGAGCGCCGCTGCGCTTCCCAAGCGGCGCACTATCCAGTGCACCACCGGGCCGGCCCGACTGAGGCCATTTTGATTATTCCTTATTCCTTTAGTTAGAGTTGTTGGATATAGTTTGTACACTAGTTTATAGGTTTTTTATTAATTGTCTTCTAGTTGTAAGCTTTACCCCAAAAGATTATAAGCTCCCCAAGAGCAGGAACTATGTTATTGTTTTGGAACCCCTTTCCCACACATTTACTTAACAAAACACAGTGGGTGCTTCTTGAATGGTCAAGCAGAGAGCATATTCAGCAAACCCCTTCCTTACAGAAGAAGCTGGAATTGGAGTTTGGTTAAATAATAATTTGATTGATTGGGAGCTAGCATCCCTGACTGTGATCATGATCCCTACACTTCCCTGATGAAAGTTATAGACAACTGGTTCTTTACATCAGCATTCCCATCCATTAAGGGGGTGCACGTGGCTGCAAATATTGCCACAACACCCAGAGCTGTTTGGAAGATGACAATTTGAGATCTGACACTCCTGGCATTGCATAAGATAAATGCCACATTGATGCCTCTCTTTCTGAGGACCTATATTTTAAAAATTATAATAAAGTCAATGTAAGTTTTTATAAAGTTTTTTTTTTTTTTCCTTTTTGTCTTTTTTTACTGACCGGTAACGGGATCGCAACCCTCGGTGTCGTGCCCGTACTGGGGACCAGCAACGGGATCGCAACCCTCGGTGTCGCGACCACGCCGCGCTCAGCCAGTGAGCGGGAACTGGTCTCCACATGGGATCCGAACCCTCGGCGGGAGCACCGCCGCACTCCCAAGCGGCGCACTCTCCAGTGCGCCACCGGGCCGGCCCGAGTTTTTGTAAAGTTTTTTAAAAAAGAGGGCTATTTTACATAATCCTATCACCATAACACATTTATTGATTTATTTTTGCATATGCATTTCCAATCTTGGCCATTTGTATACATATTTTAAGTAAATATTGTCATGGTATTCATGTAGTTTTCTAATTATTTTTTTATTTAACTGTCATGAACGTTTTCTGTTGCATAATCTTCATAATTATAATTTATAAGGATGCATAATTCCCTTGAGTAAATATAACATAGTTTAATAAAATAACCATTTTTGCTCCCGTTGGGACACTTTAAGCTGCTCTTATTTTTTGGATTTATAAAGCTTTACATTTAAGACTAACAGTGGTAATGGTGGTGGTGAAATCTTTCCTTGGGAACTTACTCAGCTGGACTTAATGGCTTCTTAGTAAACAGAAGAATGATGATCCAAAATTGGTATGTGCTCAGGAATCCTCACCTCTAGAACAGTGCTTCTTTACCTGTGATGAAATATCAGTTTTGTGTTTTATTTTCCAATCTGTCACAGACTAGTTCTTTTTTAAGATACAAAAACTGAAAAGTGAAATGGAAAAATAAAATATAAACATATAAAATACAAGCCACAGTTTTTATTAGATTCAATAGACATAAAGTCATTCTGCCAAATAGCTGTAAAGTTTTAAAAGGGTTACTCTCCATTTCTATACTTAGCTGGTTTAGGACTAGTATACCACAGTTGGTGGGCTTTCATCAGCCCAATGATGACACTTTTTTTTTTTTTTTTTTTTTTTTCTTTTTGTCTTTTTTCGTGACCGGCAAGGGATCGCAACCCTCAGTGTTGCACCCGCACCTCGCTCAGCCAGTGAGCAACCGGTCTGTATGTGGGATCCGAACCCTCGGCGGGAGCGCCGCCATGCTCCCAAGCGGCGCACTGTAGCAGTGCGCCACCGGGCCGGCCCCAACACTTATTTTTTTATTAGTAAAAAATATATAAAATATATATAGTAAAATATATATAACATGAGATTTGCCATTTTAACCATTTTTAAGCATACAGTTGCATGGAATTAATTACATTCACAGTGCTGTGTAACCATCACCTCTACCAAAGATCACATTTTAAGTACACTGCTCCAGGATACTATATCACTTGGTCTGTGTCTCTGCCTGCTGTTAACTTTCAGCCACTTTGTTTCCCCATTTTGAGTATCCTCCATTTTTAGCAATTGCCTCATCCACATTTTGTTGCTATCCATTCCTTTACTTCCCTTCTTATTCTTGTTTTGAAATGCGCTATTTCTTTCTTCTCTTTGGATTCCTTTTCTTTCGATCCTTATGTGACAGTTTCTAATCTTCTATCTTCATCCCTCACCAAAGTATATTAGTCATGCCTGTTCCACCTCACCCTGGTCAAGGCCATGTCTTAGGAATCAAATTATTCTTACCTGACACCTCCTGCATTTTGGTAGTCACAGAACTGCCTCTATCTGAAGAATCTCTTTCTATCCTCGGTTTCTGTTGTCATTTGAAGACACTTTACTGTCTCCTTCAGTAGTTCTTGCTATCCTAGGCCTCTGCCTTGGACCATCAACTCTTAGCTTATTCCTGTTACCTGTTAAAAACTTCTTCTCTAAACATATGTGCATCTAACTCGTAAATTTATCTTTCTGCTCTTGACCTTCTTATGGTTTTCTACTTCCAGATCTTCCACTGTACACTCAGCCACTTTGTTTTGTTACATCAGATTCTCTCTGATAAAAGTAAACTTCTAATCATCTCATCCAAATACTGCCTACTTCACAAGTTTCCCATCAATGAGTTTGACACTATCGTGCCTACTATTTAAGTTCAAAATATCAAGGGTAATTATTTTGAGTTCTAAAATAATGGGGCAAGTGCTGGAAGATAAAACTGGTTGGGCAGAATAGCTTCTGTCTGGCTTCTATTTAAAAATAATTTTTTACATGTAAAAGGTGTTTTCATCTCTCATTTAATTCTTATAACTCTAAGCAGTCCAGGGCAGATATCTGTTATCACCCATCTATACCTGGGGAAACAGACTTAGAGTGACTTGCCTAGGTTGCTCAGTAAATGATAGAGCTGGTGTGGAATCCAGATGTTCTGATTTGTAGTCTAGGACCTATCAGTTACTAACCAGGAAAGGGATCTTAGAATTATTGCAGCCCTTGGAAAACCTCACCCTGGTTCCTCCACAGTTGGATATCATTAGAAGCAGAACAGAAAGTATACTGTTCATGAGGAAAACTTGTGAGATGCTGTATCATTCTATTTCCCAGAAGCTTCGAAGATAACTGAGCTAGGAAAGGTCCAGGAGAAGAAAAAATTTTCAAGGGGTTAGGGTCACTTTTATATGTGAATAGTATAAAAAGCTTGGAACTCTTTAGTCAGAAAGACAGCCTTAACATATATATAATCAAAGTCTTCAAAGCATTTAAGAGTATGGATAATGAAAACACACATTTATTCAACTAATCTCAATTTGGGTGAAACCCTTGAATATTGGGGTTATCTTAGAACAAAAAGGAAATAAGAATTTGTATAAAGGTGATAACCATGGCATCTATTATTCTGAAGTTATATAGCTTCAGACATTTAAAAAAGTTTTTAAATTAAGTTTTGGATGGTAAAGCTGTAAATTTTAATTAAGTTACATGGATCCTTCCACAACTGTCATAACTATTGTGGTCTTTTGTGCAAATATTTCTTGCTACCACCATTAAGTTAGAGGACTGGACAGGATGCTATTGGTGAGATCTGGCATGCCGTTTCTTACCTTATGTTCCTGTACCAAACTAAAGCAATTCCTCTCCCTTTTTCCCCTCTGCATAGTTGAATCCACTCTTTCCTTTTGCGTTATATTACCAGATCTTTTATTGAAATAATTTGTGTATCAACTTTAATAACTTCTTTTTCTGCTGACCTCCTATCTTCCAGTCACTGTGAATCTTTATGCATGTGGTTCCCTGCTAATTTTTCATATTGTTTGTATCAGCCACAGCACACTGCTACCCACAGAATCCTTCAGTGAGATTTTCATGGAATGGTCAAACTCCACCTTCTGTTTGCTATCTTTAGAATGTTCTGCTTGGGCCGGCCCGGTGGAGCACTGCTACAGTGCACCGCTTGGGAGTGCAGCAGCGCTCCCGCCAAGGGTTCGGATCCCACATACAGACCGGTCGTTCACTGGCTGAGCGAGGTGCGAGTGCAACACCAAGGGTTGCGATCCCGTTGCCGGTCCGAGTCCGGTACGGGCGCGACACTGAGGGTTGCGATCCGTTGCCAGTCACGAAAAAAGACAAAAAGGAAAAAAAAAAAAAGAATGTTCTGCTAGCTACACACTTCATACCTTTAGGCTCTCCTTTCACTCTGTGACAGTCTGTTTTTATTTTTGAGTAAAGTCCCACTTTCCTCCTTCCTCTCCTGTCTACACTCAGTCTTGTTCAAGGTTCCCTGAATCCTTGCACAACATCATTTTTGTTTATCATGCCATTCTTCTTTGTCCCCTTAAGTTAAGGTTTTCAAAACTTGGCTGAATATTACAATCACTTGGGGAAATTTAAAAAATATCAGTTCTTGGGCTCCATCCCCAGAGATTCTGTTATAATTGGTCTGCAGCATCAAAACCTCCACAGTTAGTTCTAATGGTCAGCTAGGGTTGAGAAACATTACCTGAAATTGAAGCAGGACTTACCTCCTAAGACCTTGCTACTCAAAGTGTGGCCCATGTACCAGCAGCATTAGCATCACCTGGAAACTTGTTAGAAATGCAGACTCTGAGCCCCACCCGAGACCTCCTGAGTCAGAATCTGCACTTTAACAAGATCTCAGGTGATTCATATTAAAGCATGAGAAGCCCTGCTCCTGAAACCTTTACTGATTGCCTTCATCCACTTTCCAGCCTGTTGCCACACTTTGACCTTTCCTTTTACAAACTCATTCTTGTGATGGCTGTTGAACCTACTTTCCTGTCTCAGCTTTCAGATTTTAAAATTGAGGATTTAGATTGTATGTTCTTTGGTACATTGCAAGTTTTTGTTGCCAAGATTTATTGAATTCTCACTGTGTGTGAGGCACTGCATCCAGGCAGGTGTCCGTGGGTTGTTCCTCATGCAGCTCTTCCCTTTCTGACTGCTGCTGTGGCCTTCCTTTGCCCTTCACCAGCCTGCTTCCCCAGTATGTGGCTTTGACTGTTTTTTCCTTTCTGACTGTCGGCAGAGAGCTATTGCACATCGGAGGCTTCAGCAAGAACATTCACTTCCCCCTTGGTTCTGACTTCCCGTTAAAGCAAGACAGTTTTTCAAGACAGCCCTGTGTGTGATAAAGTCTGGCATGGAGGAAGCTGCTTGGCAGCTGAACTTGCCCCTGAGAGCAGGAAGCCTTTTTCTTGGAGGACAGGATATAGAATTTGTTTAAGTTGGACTTTATTTTTTCTTATGGGAGGTAGAGGAGATAGAGAAGCAAGTAGAAACTTTGACCCAAATTGTTTAAATTCAGAGCTCCCACTCTCAGTTGTACTCCACTTAATTTGTAATCATATCCTGATATCACTTCCTCACCTTCAAGTTTCTGATTTAAGCTTTCTTAGTGCAAATGCCCCCCCTTTGTTGCTTTGTTTTCTCTTTAGGGCTTACGTGGTGGCTTGACTAGGTCAGTGCAAAAGTGGGGATGGATGCAGTAAGGCTGCTGGCCCTGATCTGAGGTCCTTGAACGCTGGCAGAATGGCACCTATGATGGCTTTTCCAAGTTGAACATGATACTGACATAATATGCATATAAACCCTGGTACTTTGAAGCAACTGAGGTCTTTTTACTTTGATTTTCAGGGAGTTGTTCTGGTTGGGGAAGAAAAAGCATATCCAGCTACTTTATAAAATACACATTTAGCAACCAGAATTTTATTGGGCAGGGAAGCTGCCCTCATTCTCTGTTCTTTATTTTTTTTCATTCTCTATTTTTTTTTTTCCTTTTTGTCTTTTTTACTGACCGGTAACGGGATTGCAACCCTCAGTGTTGCGCCTGTACTGGGGACGGCAACGGGATCGCAACCCTCGGTGTTGCGCCCGCACCGCGCTCAGCCAGTGAGCGGGAACCAGTCTCCACATGGGATCTGAACCCTCAGCGGGAGCGCCTCCGCGCTCCCAAGCAGCGCACTCTCCAGTGCGCCACTGGGCCGGCCCTCATTCTCTATTTTGAGCCCCTCTTGTCAGATGATCTTGCTGCTGAAATAATTTCCCACAGTTCTTCCTAAGCTCTTTGGAGAATTTTATGAGAGGGTATTTACAACCCTCTTGACTGTTTGGCAGGTTATTACAGAATGCTTGTTATTACCCCGTGTCTGGGTCATTACCTGGTAAACTGGGGCATCAGGCCTCAGTGCTCATTTATCACTGAAGCTGTAAAACTACACCAAATAAATAATGATTTGCCAAGACAGATTAAGGAATGAGATTTGGGGAAAAGCCAGGTAGCTTATGTGGTAAAAGCATGAATGTGGCTGAGAGTATGGGGAATCCCAGAGAAGGGCAAGGGGTCCTCTGTATGCCTGCCTGCTTAAAGATCTAGCTCAGCCTTCTTCCTCTTCTCTTACAGACCAGTTCCTCTCCCCACTCAGGGGTATCCAGGCAGGTGCGGATCAAAGCTTCCCAGTCCGCGGGGGATATAAATACTATCTACCAGCCTCCCGAGTCCAGAAGCAGGCACCTCTCAGTCAGTGAGTATTTCACCTCTTTTTTTTTTCCCTCTCATCTATTTTATCAGCCCACATTTTTAAAAATCAACCAATATTTATTAAACAATCTCAAATATTTATTGACTGCTACTCTGTGCAGACTAATTCTCTATGCCTTTATTTGGAGAGGTGGGATAGAGAAATGACTGGGAAAATATCCTGGCCCTTAGGGAGCTTACAACATAATGATGTAATGGTGCGATTAAATTCCTTTTAGGGTAGGGCCGGCCAGTGGCTTACTCAGGTGAGTGCGGTGCTGATAACACCAAGGCCATAGGTTCGGATCCCTATGTAGGGATGGCCGGTTAGCTCACTGGCTGAGCGTGGTGCTGACAACACCAAGTCAAGGGTTAAGATCCCCTTACCGGTCATCTTTAAAAAAAAAAAAAAAAATTTTCTTTTAAACATCGCTGAAAAAGTGGTCTTTTTAAACATCTGCTTGAAGACTTCCAGAGGCTATCAACACTCATTTTTGACCATTCTTTCCTCAAAGGATTGTGGATTTGTGAAGTTAGGAGTCAGGTCTAAATTTGAGTCTTGACCTCAAACCGCTTGCTTACAATTCTTTAGAAGTATTTATGCTTTGAGGAAGATTCTGACCAGTGAAACTCTTGAAGAGTCAAACTAAGTTATCTGGGAAGGATAGGAGGTTGTTGACATACTTTATACAATCAGCTAACTAGTAAGAAAGCTATGTAGCTGCTGCCAAGCCTCCTCAGGAAAGGAGTCTAAGTGAAGCCTGTGTTAGGCGAACGTGATAACCACTACACTACGGAAACTTCGGCCAAGCCTGTGTATTATACCATATAACCCAGTATTTCCCTGGATCCCATTTCCTAGTGTCCAGGGAGAAAGCCCATTTCTCGAATTGTGGAGTTTGTATCAAGAGGGAAATCTGGCCTTATTGAACATTTATGTTGAGCCTGCTGCCCTGATGTTGCTGAGATGCCTGCTGCTGCTAGGAAGCCAAGTTTGCCCTTATCCATACAAATAGAATTGGATCAAACCGTACTGCTCTCTGAAGATCCTGAGCTGAGCTTGCAGAGATCTGAGCATTGTTCCTGTTGTGGGGCTTGTCTGTGAGTGATGTGCCTCCTGAAAGAGTTGTAGGAAAAATTTATTACTGAGGCACTGACTTTGCCTCACTGAGTAATTTCTGAACCCAAGCAAGCACTAGTAGTGTGAAAGTCTGTATATGAATTTCAGATTTCTGTGGATAATTGGTGGATATGTTTTCAGTAAGGTGGTTGAGGAGAGAGAGCCAGCACCCCGGCAGGGATACCCTATCCAGAGCATCTCTGGCCCTGGAATCTGGGTGCCCTGGAGCCTGGGAAATTGCTGGCTTGGCCTCTTTTTCCAGAGTCTTTGTAGAGAATGAGGGGATGAGGGTGGGACAGCATTGTTCTTTGTACAGTAACCAGTGAGGATTGAAAGGGGCAGTAATTGAGTCTCCTGCACCCAAGCAAGAGACTGTGATTTGTGTGTGGAGGCAGTGGCCAAATACTGGGCCATTTGGATCCTTTTTCCATGTTGTAGGGAGCCATATGTGGAAATTATTTCCCTGCTGAGAATTCAGAGCAATATTATTTCTTTGATGTAGGTCCTATTTGTCTAGAAAATGGGCAGCACAGCCTCTCATCACACCTAGATCTTGGCTTCCTTCATTCAGCAAGAGTTATGTACCAGCCATTGGGCTGGGATGAATGCTGCAGTGGAGCACATGGTGGAAAGGTGAGGGTGGTAGGAGCACAGAGGAGGCAATAACCAAATCTGCCCAGGAGTTAAGGGCTTTCACATCAGTGCTGACATATGAAGGAAGAGATACTGAGCATAAAGGGAGACAGATGTTCCTGGCACAGGAGAGAGCACCTGCCAGCCACATTCACAAAATTACGTATTAGGTTCCAAGAACCCCAGGTGCTTTGGAGTATGTGGGGGTTGTGGTGGATGTGACAAGAAAAGTGGGCAGAGCCTGTGAGCCTTTCTATAGCCAAGAAATGGGAGAGAGGATTTCTAGCTGGAATGACCTGGGAAATGCATTCTCTGGAGGAGCTGTTTAAACTGGACCTTGAGAGATTGTGGAGGATTTCCATAAGCAAGGATGAGGAGAGAGGACTTTTCAACTGTGCCTGTGGAGAGCTCACTGTCCTTCAGTTCCAGATTGGCTCAATGCCTTTGGAGGAAGAATAGAGAAGGCTGAGAAAGGATGCCTGGGCTACTCTCTGAGGAGCTTCCACTATATTTAGGCTTTTTTGGTAGGAAATGGGAAGCCACTGAAAACATTTGCCGCTTATACCCATCTCCATTGTAATGCTTATCACGTTATCTTATCTCTTTCCCATCAAACTGCATTTTTGTTAACTTGTTCAAGAGATAATTACCAAGTGCCTGAAACTTGGGAAGTAAAAAAGACATGAGCCCTGTTCCTGTGAGCCTTAGAGACCCATGGGAAGACAGACATTTACTTGTCATAATGTGATTGATATATAATTACAAGCTGTGATTGAAAGGTGTGTGTTGCTTCGAGTGTGTATAACTGAGGGGTGGGACCTGATCTTGGGGCCAAGAAAGCCATAGGCTATTACCCAAAACATGAATGGGAGTTAGGCAAAGGGGATGCAGGGAAGAGAGTTCCAGGCAGAGGCTGTTACACATGCAGAGGACTGATGGCATGAGGGAGTGTGGTTTGTTTGAGAAACAGAAACCTGATTGCTGGAGAGCTGGGAACTAGGGGTGGGAGGGGGGATGAGGCTAGGGAGGGAGGCAGAACTTTGTGGACCGCGATAAAGATTTTAATACTTATGTTGAAAGCAGTGAAAATCCATTTAGGGGTTTTAAGTGAGGAGGAATGAGTGGTATTACATATTCAGATTTATATTTTGAAAAGATTTTTCTGGCTACAGTGTGGAGAACAGATTGGAGGGGGAAAGAATGGATCCATGTTAGGCTAAATGCAGTGGTCCAGATGAGAGAAAACAGAAGTTTATAGTAGGCTGGTGACATTAGTGGAGAGAGGAAGGAGCAGGTGGATTTGAGACTTTGAGAGGTAAAACTGACAACATGCCTTTTTTTTTTTTTTTTTTTTTTTTTTTTTTTGACTATGAGTTAAGTGTTAGTGTGGTAGTTGTGGAAAGAAATAACACTTTGAAATTCACTTTGGGAGAAATGGAAGAAAGTGTTTCTTTTGCTGCAAGTTACACTGCTCCAACTGTAAGAGATGATTAATAAAAACAACCACAAGATCCACAACAGAGAAAAGGGAGTCTTTATTTCCAGGAAAGAAACAGAATAGGAAAATACAAGCTCTGGGCAAACTGAAAGTATGAACTTCAAAGAAGGGAGAGGAAAACTAGTTGTTATGTCTTGCAGAGACAGTATTACATACAGATTCAGTAGGTTTGGGGAAATTCTATGAATATTTATGAAGGAAGTCATGTGCGTGCATGGTAAGTAAACATACATGTAATATAACACTGTAGCAGTGCGCCACCGGGCCGGCCCCCAACATGCCATTTTGATGGTTCTCGAATTGTTGTCTGGGGACTCCATTGTCTGGATATCCTTTCAGAGGGTCTGTGAGGTCAAAGATGTTTTCATAATCACACTAAGACATGATACTCATTCTATCACAAGTGTACAGTAGGGTTTTCCAGAGGTCATTTGCCTAAGGTGATGTCATTGCTCTGATGGCTTATGGAATGTATGCTTATGTATCATCGTGTTTTAAAAATTTCTGAGCCACTGTAGTAAATATCAATTGATAAAACCCACATAAATAAAAGCTGTTAAGTGTCTTTGGTTTTAAAGCATAAAGGGGTGCTAACACCAAAAGGCATAAGAACTGCTATGGTATTGGATTGAATTTGCAGGTCTTGAGAGAGAGGGCAGTAAGTTTTACTTGTTTGTGGAGCAGGATAAATGCACGGCCTTTCACTAAGACAAGAATACTGGAGGAGAGCCTGGTTTCAGGCACTACAAGGGGCAGACCCAATGTTTTAGACATGTTGCTGTTGAGGTAGCTTTGAGACAGTCAAGAGGCAATATCAAATGGGCAATTAGATATACAGGTCTCTAGCTCAGAGGGGAGAAAATCAGGGCTAGAGAAAAGATTTAGAAATTGTCAAGTTGAAACCATGGGCCCAGAGGAGAGTGCTTAAGCAGAGTGTATGGAATGAGAAGAGAAGAGAAGTGGGCCTAGGACTGGGCCTTAGGAACCTGACACGTAGTAGTACCCAGTTAGAAGAGGATGAGCCTTAAAAGGACACAGGAACGGAGTGACCAGAAAAGCTGGAAGGAAATTTTAGGAGTGTGGGGAGGAGGCCTGACATGGAACTAGCCAGGTTGGAAAGGACAGACCAAGGGTAAGAAAGACAAACTTGTCAATTTCATCCACAAATATCTGAGTATGTGCTATGTGTTGGTACAGTATAAGGCTTCTGGAAGTAAAGGAAAACAGGAAGAAAAGAGAATCGAGGTTAAAGCATGAGGGACCAGGAAAAGTCCTAGCAGTACAAGTGGTGTCATAGGAGAACTCACTGGTGAGTAAGCCTTAGTAATTCAACCTCCCACTGGTTCTTCTCCCTCTTCCTCTCCCTCCTCCGCCATCAGCATTAACATACCTGTGAACATTTAGTGAGAGATTGCAGCAATTCAGGTAATTCTGCAACATTTGCAAAGATGGGGAAATACAAGGTAACCCCAATTTTACACATTTCTATTTATTTAAATTCTTCCTTACTTGAATTGAAAATCTGCCTTCTCTCACTTTACCCATTAATTCTAGTACTGCTCTCTTAAGCAACACAAATAACAGAAAATCTTTCATATGACAGTTTTTCAAATATTTGAAACCAGCTATCATGTTCACCCTTTGTTTTTTCCAATCATAATAAACATACCTTGAATTCTAATTTTTTTCAAGCCAGTTAATCTCTTAAACTAGTTCATGCTAAAAAAAAAAAATAATAATAATAATAAACAAA